CAGTAGAGTAGTGTAAATGTATTATGATTTTCTTAGTAACATTCTTTTCTCTAGCTTACTTTATTGTAAGAATATAGTATATAAAACATACAACATAGAAAATATGTTAATTGACTATGTTATCAACTGTCAGTAGGCTATTGGCAGTTGAGTTTTGGGAGAGCCCTTATACTTGGATGTTTGCATGACGGGGGGGGTCAGTGCCCCTCACCCCCACGTTGTTCAAGAGTCAATTGTATATTGTCATATGACTCTGTGAAACTTTAATTTCATATCCATCTTATAGCCTTTCTTAACATTTGCTGCATCAAAACACTGCACCCTCAAAAGAACACATATTTTGGGGAAAGAGAAAATAAGAAGTAGCTTTCCTTATCAGATAAAATAAAAATAAATGTAAAGGTTTTATAACAGTTTTTAAGGAAAAGGTAGTTTTATATTATATTAGTCCAAGCAAGGCTCAAATGGATTAATATTCATCAATAAATTAACAACTAGTCACTCATTTGTGATAGGTTTATAAAACATTATAGCCAGGGCGCCTGGGTGCCTCAGTCGGTTAAGCGTCTGCCTTCCGGCTCAGGTCATGATCCCAGGGTCCTGGGATTGAGCTCCGCGTCGGGCTCCCTGTTCGGTGGGGAGCCTGCTTCTCCCTCTCTCTCTGCCTGCCACTCTGCCTACTTGTGTTCTCTCTCTCTGTCAAATAAATAAATAAATAAATCTTAAAAAAAAAAATTACAGAAAATAAAACTGATGGTTGTCTCTGCTTTTAGTCATTATTGCCTCAATGTAAATGAATTCCACGAGTTAGCATGAGTTGAACAGATTTTACTTATCCTACTGAAGGCCTACCTTCAGCGACTACTTTTTACAGAAGGCCAGTCCTTCAGAAAGCAACATGATCTTAGCTAAGCTAATAATTGGGAAAGCCTCCCAGTTAAATGTGCTGTCCCCCCTGAATCCTAGGAGCTCAGGCCCATCTGGCCTGGCATGCTGACAGACTTACCATTGTATTTCCAGAAATACTGATGAGTGTGTTCCACCACACTCTCTCCTGGGCCCTGTCTGTCTTTATGACCAATGGCACATAGTGGCCTTGGCTGACATCGAGCGCCATGGGCAGAAGCATCGGGAGCTAACTAGCCCATGCAGGAATGGAACCCGAATCCGATTAGCATCAGGCTTTAACCAGCAAAAGCGACTAATGACATACTGAACCCCACACCTGGCGCAGTTCTTTCCTTCCCTCTCTCCCCCTTCCCTGTTTTCATTTTCCTCCCCGCTATCCCCTTTCCCTCCTGTCTGACAGTGGGAAACCAGGCTAAAAGATAAGCAGTTCACCGAGTCACACCTCTAGACTTGAGCCAACTGAACCAAGACAGCCTTTGGAAGAACTACAGGCTTTGCTCAAATAATGAAATACAGCAATGAGTTACCCACTGTACTTCTAGAATAGCACATGTACAATGTCAACAGAGGCTGCGGCATAGAGAAAACCCGGTATTTTGGAAGTGGGGGGTACTTTAGAGATCATCCAGTATAATTTTCTCAACTTACAAATGAGGACACTAAGGCCCAAAGAAGTTCAGAATCACAAACATAGTTAAAATACAGGTCTAGGAATTCCAAATCCAAAGTCGGTGTTCTTCTGGGGGTGGTGGGAGGTGAGCAAAGTGGGGGCAGGGGGTCAAAAGGTGGTGAGGGGTGTAACTAAATTCATTATGGTGATCAGTTTACAATATATACAAATATTGAATCATGATGTCGTATGCCTGAAACTAATGTAATGTTATATGGCAGTCCTCAATAAAAAATCAATTCAGTGTTCTTCTAACCAAACAATGTGGCTTATTACATATCCATGATACTCCTGCAACTTATGATTAATATCATGCTTTAATGATTTAAGAATACAGCTTTTAAAATTTAGACTAAAATTTTGGAGAAAACCCCAAATAATTAGAATTTTTAAGAATGCCTACTGAATATGAAAGTTTGTACCACAGGACTGTTTAGGTCTAAATTTTACAAGTTTTGTATTTATAGGCATGACATATTGGCAAATTTATCTTCCGGAGAGCATATTCTGTATTTCAGAAAAAGCAAATACAAAAGTGGTACGTGCTGTGAAAACAACCTTTTTCAGATTAGTACCTGGTAAATAATCATGCAAATTTGATATGAGCTATTGGTATTTAGTCCAATATTGTATCAAGACCATATGTTACCGGAGGCAAGCTCTTCAAATGCATAATTTATAACATAACCCCCGTGACTACCTGAGAGACCTAGGTAGAATAATGAATTAATCCAGCAGAAATAGACCCTTGGAGGATGAAATGACATTTAGCTAAGGTCACAAGGGCAACTGGATTAGTAGTCTCAGGCTATTCCTCATAGAGAGTTTGCCAGATGACACAAAAATCCAATATATTCCCTTAACTAAAAATAAATCTCCTCAAAATGTTTAGTTTGGAGGGGTGTGGGGGGATGGGTTAGCCTGGTGATGGGTATTAAGGAGGGCACGTATTGAATGGAGCACTGGGTGTTATACGCAAACCGTGAATCATGGAACACTACATCAAAAACTAATGATGTAATAATGTATGGTGATTAACATAACATAATAAAATAAAATTTAAAAAAATGTTTAGTTTGAATATGCAGGCATGGAAAGGCCTAGTGTTGCTTCAAATTTATACTGAGCAATATTAAAAAAGAACAGGACCAACCACTGGTAGCAAAGGTAAGCTATCTGCATAAACACTGGGGTGGGGAGCAATGCAGAGCATCCAGGAGAAAAATGCCTAAGAGGTGATGGAGAAGTAAGAGAAGAAGAAATAAAAAAAAGAGAAACATGGAGGAGGCAAGAACTAAAGAGATAAATAGCTAAAGAAGAAGAAAAGAAGGATAAAGAAAAGAAAGTTACAGAGAAGTGAAATGAAAAGAAAAAATAATAGAAAATGAAGAGACTTCCATTTATATGACTAATAGGTCATGGGATCTAATGTACACCATGGTCACCATAGTTAACACTGGGTTGCACGTTTGAAAGTTGCTAAGAGAGTAGATCTTTTTTTTTTTTTAAAGATTTTATTTACTTATTTGATAGACAGATTGAGTACAAGTCGGGGTGGGGAGGGGCAAAGGGAGAGGGAGAAGCAGAGTCCCCAGAGAGCAGGGAGCCTGACATGAGACTTGATCCCGGGGCTCTGGGATCATGATCTGAGACGAAGGCAGATGCTTGACTGACTGAGCCACCCAGGCACCCCACTAAGAGAGTAGATCTTAAAAGCTCTCATCAGAAGAAAAAAATGGAAAGAAAAATAAGGAGAGAAATTAAATGATGGGTGGAAAAAGAAAGGAATTGAGGATGTAGAACAGGTGGGAAGGAAGCACTCAAACGATGGGAGTCCATTAGTACCATGTGCGGCTGGGACAGAGCAATGGTTTGTCCTGGGGCCTGAGTAGAACAATAAACATAAGATGAAGGACAAAGCAAGAAGAGATGCATATTGGATATGAACTCACCCCCTAAATACTGTGTTACCCGAGGTTTTCTCTTCATCCTTGACTTCCTTCTCCCTCTACAGTGACTCTGAGTGACCTCATCCAAACCCAGGGCTTCAGCTCAGCACAGGCCGATGACTTGGTCTGTGGAAAGTGTTATTCTGAGTCCGCACCAGCACATCCAACTGCCCAGTGGAAGTTTCCACTGAACTTCACAGGAACAGCGAACTGAAAAAATGCAAGGCCTACCTCTCCAATCTTCACTCTCCACATATGTTCTGCTTTCCACATTCCACATTTTCTGAATGGTAATATCTCGACTAAGCTGCCCAAGACAGTAACTAGATTCTTTCTTTCTACGTTGCTCTTTCTCCCTGGGCTTCTGCCTCCAAATGGCCACTAAAACTTACCTCCCAATATTTCTAAAGTTGCCCCATCTTCATCCAACTGCTCCTCCTGATTTGAGTTCTTTTCCCTCTCCACTGTGCTCAATCCTAATATCAGAGTGATCTTTCTAAGATTAGAATGACATCCCATTACTACCTGCTTAAAGGCCATCAGTGGATCTTTGGACCAAGTCCAGCCTCCTTAGATGACAGACAAGACCTTCAAGACCTCACTTTGCTGAACTCTCCAACCTTACCTCCTACCATCCATGACCTATTCCCACTCTATAATTGTTTTTAAACTACAGAGAAAAGGATGAAGATCGAGTATTATTACTGTTTGGGAAAAATTAAGATATCACTATCTATATTTTTATGTTGATAATTTTTATATAAATTGAACACTGTACCACTAATAAGTTTTTACTCATTTCTACAACACAAAGGCACTGTATATTTTTCAAGGGTGGGAGGCAAGGATTGCTTGTTATAGCCATATTGGGTTTTCTCCTCCCCCAAACCACCCCTTGCCTAGACAGAGCAATCTGACAACATCCAACATGCTTTATTCTTGTCCTTAGTCATACCATGAGCTGTGTTTCTGTAAGGCTGTTTTTTGAGAGTCTCTTTCTCATGGGGTGTTGTGCAGATTAAGCCCCTAGTATGGTGTCTGCCTGCACATAACACAGGCTCAATAAATTTGTCATCACCCTTACCTTCATTATAATGAGAAGAGGAAAAGTCTCATTTCTCATGTCCTTGAGAACATCAAAATGCATTAATACATTAGTAATCAGCACTAAAAATTTCCTGATTAGTAAATGTCTTTAAAGATTCTGCAGAGTTTTATGCACCAATGTGTGGGAAGACACATCATCTTACGTTAACTTGGCATGCTATGCTTGGCATAGTCATACAACACCACAGTCATTACTCTAAATTTTGTCCCATAACCTTGAATTCTAGATGAGGAAAAATACCAACAATCAGAGTCACAGGTGTGTCTTCAAAACCAATTCAATAACTTGAATATTTTCACACTCATGAAGCAACTTGGCAAACAATGGGACAGAATCGCATCTCTGGCGACAGCTAGGAGCTCACCTTTTCTTCATTACCAACACAACTCCAAGAAATATAATAACGAACAGCAAGATGCCAGCAATGACTCCAGCAATTTTGACTGTATGGTCTGTTTCCTTCTCGGGTTCTGGGACTGGTTTCGGGGTGGCAGCTCCTGAAAATGGAAGGAAATGAAAAAGGACAGACGGTGGGTAAGAGAATAAAGATGTGACATTTTAAAAAATTTTGCTGCATTTAACAGACTAAGAAGACTTATCAGAGCCAGCAGACAGACAAGCTTTTGATTTTTTTCAACAGCTTTCATATGCACCGAAAGGAGGGTAACTGTTCATATTGCTCTTCAATATTTTATGAAACCATAACATAAGTTGGATAGCATACCCACGCCTGACCCTTTTCTAAGAGACTCTTCTCAAGCAGTTTTTTTTTTTATATTTTGTTATCTCTATTGGCTCCCTGCTCTTTCTGCCATTTAAAAACTTGCTAACGACACAATAGCTATCCTAAGCCTTTATCCAAATTTGATTTGCTGGAACATTTTCCTCAATTATTTTTCATAAGTGAAGCAGTAATTCCATAACATATTAGCCCAAACACCTGGAAAAGTGAGATAAGCTCATTTACCATGCATTTTACCAGCAATTGTTTTTTAACACGATATAGATTTTTCCCCTGCCTTTGGAAATCTAAATCTAGGTCATATCTGGTAGGCAAAAGACTTCTTCTAAGCAATTTACTCACAAAGTGGAAAGCAGCTGATGATCAGACTACTGGCACCCACATTTAATATCTGTTTAAATGAGATAACCAGAGCCTTCCAGTGGCTACTGTCTTAGCTCGCCTGCTTTTCCATTTCCAAAACACCATTTGTCCTGTTTACGGTATAATGTGATGGAATGTCAAATCCATGTCTGATGAAATATCCATTTCCTCTGCTAAATGAGTTCAGGACGAAAAAATATTAGGAATGTAATGTTCAATTCACTAAGCAGAATCCATTTTTTTAAGGGCTTCCACCCTTTTTATTTTTTTTATTTTTATTTTTTTAAAGATTTTATTCATTTATTTAAGAGAGAGAGAATGAGAGACAGCATCATAGGGAGGAGGGTCAGAGGGAGAAGCAGACTCCCTGCCGAGCAGGGAGCCCGATGCGGGACTCGATCCTGGGACTCCAGGATCATGACCTGAGCCGAAGGCAGTCGCTTAACCAACTGAGCCACCCAGGCACCCCTTCCACCCTTTTTAATCAGAACGTGACAGTGTTGAGCATCTGAGCCATCATGCCACCATCCTCATGAGAGGTCAGGACAGATAATTCTGAAAGTAGAAATTTTATGTCCAAATTTCTCGCCTTAGAATTTTCTTGGTTTTGTTGGTGAAAAATGTAATTAAAATTGAATATTGAGAGGCGCCCGGATGGCTCAGTTGTTAAGCATCTGCCTTCGGCTCAGGTCATGATCCCAGGGTCCTGGGATCGAGCCCCGCATTGGGCTCCCTGCTCCGTGGGAAGTCTGCTTCTCCCTCTTCCACTCCCCCCTGCTTGTGTTCCCTCTCTCGCTGTCTCTCTCTCTGTCAAATATATAAATAAAATCTTTAAAAAAACCTGAATATTGATACCAGCCCTTTCTACCCTTTCGTTGGGTTTTCCATTCACACTTCACCCGATTCTTGAAACAACTTAGCCATCCTTGTGTCTGGTATATTCCAGACTGGGCTTATCCTCAGATGAATCAGTACAGGGAAACAGGGAGTGTTAAGCTCTCACTTTCCATCTGTTTCCATTGGAAACATATAAACTACATTTCTTTCAAAAGTTATTCATGTTAAGATTTTATATAAGATGCTGCCTCTTGAACCCAGCTGTGGCCATCAGACTGATGTAGCTGGTTAAGACTGGGGAGATACACAAAGCAGAAGATGACTTTACATCTACACGTGCATTCCAATCAAAGTGACAATCATAATGAGAACCATTATGATGTAAAAATCATACCTTATTAAATACAAACCGTTCTGCATAACCTCTTTTAGGTCATTTTTATTTCTGATAACTTCAGGAGGATGTCCTGCTACTTTGTTTTAATAAATATCCCTCATACTAATTATTCAGATAAACCTTGAAACTGCTAATATTTACTATTTTTTAGTGTAATTACATCTTACATATACCACTCCAATATGCCATTGGAACATACAACCGAGTGGTGGATTTGCAGGATATTGATTCATTAAATAAATTGCTAAGAGAGATTTAAAGATAAAATGTGTGTTACAAAAGGATGAGAATTTTTTAAAAATCCATATAAAAATAAACATTTAAAATTCACAAAAGTGAAAAAGGGGGCAATATTTTCCAATTTTGATTTCTTTTGTTCAATTAAAAAAACTTACCTTTAAAAAAATAAAATGAAATTGGTTTTGTTCTTCCAAATGTTGGCATATTGGGAGCCATTCCATTGATCTCACCAGTTACTAGATTTCAAGTGGTCCAAATATATTTTCTAAATAACTGGTTCACTGAGTTTCTTTGTAACTAAATTAGGCCAGTAAGTACAACACTTGGGAAAGAAATATAGAAAGACTTTACTTAGCCTAAAACACTGAAATATAAAAAACAACATGGATACAACTCATACATCATAAACCCTCAGGAAGGGAGAACTTGTTTTGTTAATAGTCACGTTTGCTTCTGTTAACTAAACGACTGGTTGTGTTTCACGTTAGCCAAAATTTTGCCCAGGCTCCATGAGAACTGGTGAATACTCTACACATCTTTGCATCAGGAAAAGAGACCCCCTCGGAGCCTTTCATTCACTTTGGGAAGCAGACAAATCCATTGTTATGCAGCCGGCATAAGCTCAGTATTATCATTCTTTAGCACTTTTAACTCATTTCACATTGCAGGTCAAGAAAATGAAATGTTCTATCTCTGCAGGACACAGTTGCAATGTGATTACGGTGGCAATCGTGCAGAATGGGAGAGAAGCTCAGAAAAGGAGAGGAAGGTTGCCCTGAGCTGGCGGCGAGCCATCCTCCTTTTGCCTGCCGCGGGGCAAGGCCACCAGACCACGGTGACAGCGCCAAGACGAAGGGGTTGATTGGAATGTCCGGGTTTAAGACTGATCCGGGAATGCAAATTGGGAGGGAATAAGTCACCCCACTGAGCTAATCTCAGGGAGGTAGGTGTGCGTCATTAATTCCAAGTTCACTCTGGGCACCTGTCATTCCTGCCTTTGTCTGCCTGCCCTGCCCCTCCAGCGTTTCCTGAAACAGGTATCTTTATGATCCCCTTCCACAGGATGCTCTTTTCTCCACTTTTGTTTTTTTTTGGAAACATGTGGTTGTGAGCTGTCAGTCAGCCTGGGACAGACGATAATTTGTGACAGAATGTGGTTGCAACTGATAGCTTGTTGTTTTTTCCCCCCTCACCCAAATCTATGAATTTAACAGTATAATTTATAAACTCCTTCGCAGAAGAGTTGTTTTCATAATATTTTCCCTTCTGTCTTGTTATTTTCTTGACAGGTTTCTAATGGTACGGACTTTTATTCCTTTTTTTTGGGTATAAATTCTAATTCTTCAGGGAAAGGCATTTTTCCCCCTCTTCTACTGTGCATTCTGTTCAGAGTTTACTGCATGTTTAGATCCTTTTAAAGGGAATACATTCAAATGTGTGCATTTAATAGGAGGCGTTATCTAGGCTTGAACATACTCGTTAAAATGATGAATAAGCTAAATATTTCATAGATGGAGGGTGACAGGCTGCTGAACTTGTAGCATATAATCCTGACAGATGCCTCCTCTACTGATTCCTACTGATGCCTTTGGGTGTTTTGTTTTGTTTAATGACCAAGAAGATTAAAAAGGGTGGTATTCCAGTGAACTTACATTAGGTAAGTTTACAGATATAACATCTCGTGTGAAAAATCTCAAAGGAAAGGGAATGATTTTAGCCAATGCCTTATTTGGTTGGTTTTCAACTTAGCCGAAAACAGTGAGTCTTGGCCCGGTGTTCGATGTTAAATTACATAACAGCACACGCCAGGCCGAGAACATGATGTACTCAGCCACTGGTTTGAGGTTTGGGCCTAATTTTGACTACTGAACTGGCTGCAGAAATTTTTCCAGAAGACCCAAGGACACAAGCACAGAAGGCCATGAAAGCCATCATGGCTGCCTGGGGCCACTGACATAGCGGCCCCAGCACCACGACTGCCTCACCTTGAGGAAACGGGAAGCCTTCCTTTTTTTTTTTTTTAATTTAATTTTATTATGTTAGGTTAGTCACACAGGAAGCCTTCCTAACAGGAAAAATGAACATTAGGAATAGCCCAGGGGCAGTTTGGCATTCTGTCTGAATAATGGTGACTAGTGCTTGGCTTTCTCCTTGAATGTGGGAGAAAATCAGCAATATTCTTCATTTATTCAACAAGAATTAATCAAGTGCCCCAGTGGTGCCATGCACTATTTTAGGAATACCACAGTGAACAAATGGGTCTAATAAAAACCTTTGTCCTCATGGAAGTTCTATTCTTGTGGGGAAGGACAGACCCAGACAGAAACAAATGCTGTCAGCAGGATGTGAATCAGTGCTGGTCTTCGGGGTGGAATCTTCGAGTGGGGCTGGTGCTATGCAACTCGGAGATACGCGATCAGAGAAGGAATCACTGAAAGAGGGAAGGGACGGAGCTCCACTAACACCCAGGGAGGAACATTCTAGGCAAAGGGAAGAAAAGATTAAAAGGTACAAGACGGGACTGTGGAATACCGAGGTGGGCTTGCAGGGGACTGAGCCGGGGAAGCGGTGGGACACAGAGTCAGAGTTGGGGGCACCTCCATAGGTCACCGTGAGGACTTGGCTTTTTCGCCGCATGGGAGAGCTATGGGAGGATTTTAAGTGTTGGATGACGTGATCTGGCTTATGTTTCCGGGTCACACTGGCAGTGGTGTTTAGAATAGACTGTAGTGGATCAGTGGTGGAGACAGGAATATCAGTTATGAAGCTATTATAAATAATCCATGCAAGAGATTAAGATGGTTTGGAATAAGACTATAGCAGTGGAGGTGGTAAGATGAGGTCAACCTTGAGATATATCTTGACAGTTGAGTCACCAGCATTTGCCCATGTATGGGAAGGAGAGGGTGCTGGTACAA